CCGTCTTTGTCTCTAGTTATGGTCTTCATTTTGAAATCTATTTTATCAGATATGAGAATTGCTACCCCAGCTTTTTTTTTTTTGCTTTCCATTTGCTTGGAAAATTTTTTTCCATCCCTTCACTTTCAACCTATGTGAGTCTTTTGTTGAGAGGTGGGTCTCTTGTAAACAACATATAGATGAGTCATGCTTTCTTATCCAATCAGCTACTCTGTGTCTCTTTATGGGAGCATTCAATCCATTTACGTTTAAGGTGATTATTGATATGTACTTATTTATTGCCATGTTTGTTTACTGTGGTTCTATTTTTCTTCCCATTTCTACTGCTAATTACAGCAGTCCTTTTAACATTTCTTGCAGTGCTGGTTTGGTGCTAATGTATTCCCTTAGCCTTTTTTTTTGTCTAGGAAGCTCTTTATTTGATCTTCTATTTTGAATGATAGTCTTGCTGGGTAGAGTAGTCTTGGATTCAGATTCTTGTTTTTCATGACTTTGATTACTTCATGCCATTCCCTTCTGGCCTGTAGTGTTTCTTGTGAGAAGTCAGCTGAGAGCCTTATGGGGTTCCCTTGTAGGTAACCTGTTGCTTATCTCTTGCTGCTTTTAGGATTCTCTCTTTGTCTTTAATTTGTGGCATTTTAATTACTATGTGTCTTGGTGTGGGCCTTTTTGGGTTCTTCTTACTTGGGACTCTCTGTGCTTCTTGAACTTGAATGCCTTCTTCCTTCACCAAATTAGGGAAGTTTTCTCTCACTATTGTTTTGAATATATTTTCTATCCCTTGCTCATTTTCTTCTTCTTCGGGGACTCCTATGATGCGAATATTATTACGTTTCCAGTTGTCCCATAGTTCTCTTAAGCTGTCTTCCTGTTTTTTAATCGTTTTTCCTTTTGTTTTTCTGATTGGTTGATTTTTTCTACCCTGTCTTCTAATTCACTGATCCGGTCCTCAGCTTCCCCTACTCTGCTTTTTAAACCTTCCAATGTGTTTTTCATTTCTGATATGTCATTCTTTATCTCTTCTTGTTGGTTTTTAATTTCCAATTGGCTTATTTTCAGTGTCTCTCTGTCCTTACTCATGCTGTTCAGCTTCCTCAAGATCATGGCTCTGAATTCTAGCTCTGTTAACATGCCTAATTGCTCCACATTGATCTCATCTTCGGTGGAGGTGTCTTGCTCTTTCATTTGGCTTCTGTTTCTGTGTTTCAGCATTTTGGCTATCACTGTGGGCTTTGGAGCCTGTCCAGTTCTCCCTGTGGGTGTTGGTGTTCTGCTGTTTGTGGCTCCCTCTCCTGTGTTTAGATGAGCGAGGGAGGACCCACATTGAACACCACTGTCAAGTCTTACTTTCCTGGTTAAAGTTGCCAGCCCAGGAAAGGTACTGTTATCCTCTAGCTTTTTGCCTGGAGGCTAGCAGTCTAGGTTAATTGATCAGTTTTGGGTTGTCAGTTGATTGAAAGACTCCCTCTGGTTCTCAGCCAAGGGGCTTTCACGAGGGTGGGGCAGATGCTGGTTGTTAGTGAGCTTCAATTAGCACTTCAATGGCCCACAGGTTGGGGTTGGATCTCCGAGGGAGGGGCTGCTGCCTCTCCTCAGAGCCCTGGGAAGGAGCAATGTGGCCACCGTCCTGAGTGGCTGCACTCAGCCAAAGCTCTGAGCACCCTCCAAACCCCGAGTGTCCCGACACAGTTCCAGTCCAGTCCGCCCTCCCTCTGCCAGAGCCCAAGGTGAGTGGCTGTGGCTGTTTTAGCCTCTGTCCTGGCTGCGCTGTGGAGCCACCTGGGAGTGTAACCCGAGGGCGCCGCTCCCAGCTGAGGCCGCTGCCAAGCTGCCGACCGTGGGCTCCCAGCCCCGTCTTGCGCCTTTGCAAGCCTACCGGGATGGAGTCAGTGTCCCTCGTTGTATGGTCCTCGCAAGCGACTTTTCTGTTGGTTTTTCCCGTCGATTTGTCTGTGTTATAGTTGTAATTCCAGTTTGGTTCTGGGAGACGGTCTGTGTAGCTCCGTTCACTCCGCCGCCATTTTTCGGTTCTCTGTTTCTATATCTTTACTCATGGTGCTGGTGTTCTTACTCATGCTGTTGAGCTTCCTCAAGATCATGGCTGAACTCTACCTCTGATAATTTGCTTAGCTGCATGTTATTGATCTCATCTTCGATAGAGTTCTCTTGTTCTTTCATTTGGGATTTGTTTCTTTGTTTCACCATTTTGGCTATCTCAGTGGGTTTTGGAGCCTGCCAAATTTTTCCTGTGGGTGTTGTTGTTCTGTTGTTTGTGACTCCCTCTACTGGGTTTGGATGTGGCTGGGTGGGCCATGTTAAATACTACTGTCAAGTCTTACTTTCCTGGGTAGATTTGTAAGCCCAAGAAAGATTAAGTTATCCTCTAGCTTTTTTCTGGTGGCTAGTAGTCTCATTTATTCAGTGCCTTGGAATGTAGCCCTGGTGTTCAGTGTCCCTGTTTATACGGCCCTTTCCTGCTGCTTTTCTGTAGCTTTTTTCTGAGGATTTGTCTTTATTTTAGTTGTAATTCCCGTTTGGTCCTGGGAGATCAACTGCATAGCTTCTGTTCACTCCGCCTCCATTTTAACATCCTCTAAGCCTATCTTGTGCGCAGCTGGGTTGCACCAGCCTTCCTGGTGCCCTAGCACCCTGCAGGTCCCATGGGTAACTGGATCGCACTGTCCCTTTGGGGACCCAGCTCAATGCCTATGTTATGGGCTGCTGGGTCTCGCAGGCCTCTCTGGTGCTTCAACACTCTGCAGGTCCTGTGGGTAATTGAATGGCACAGTCTCTGCTGGGTCACACAGGCTTCTCTGGTGCTTCAGCACCCTGCAGGTCCTGGGGTAACTAGATTTCACAGTCCCTGCTGGGTCTCACAGGCCTCTCTGGTGATTAAGCACCCCATGGTCCTGGGGGTAACGGGATCGCACAGTCCCTGCTAGGTTGCACAGGCCTCTCTGGTGCCCCCACACCCTGCAGTTCTTGAGACTGGATTGCACCAGTCTCTCTCAGGCTCTGGCTTCCCTCTGCTCTTGTAAGCTACTGGACAGCACAGGCCTCTGGGGAGCCCCGGATCCCACCGCTGGCGGCTGGGGTGTGCTGCTGGTAGCTGGGGAGTGTTGCTGCCCCATGGGTCTCAACTCCTGCTCAGCTTTTGCTGTAGTTTTTGGGAATGGGTCTCCACTACTGGTCTGTGCTTCTGTTGCCTGGGGATGGATGTCTGATCCCCACCCTCTGTTGCTGGGGGTATGTCTTCATTCTGATTCGACTGCTATTATGGGGGTTGGTGCTGGGCTCCTGGCTGTCCACGGCTTCCACAACCAGCACCTTGGGAGCTCCACTACTGTGCACAGGTCTGTGTTGACACAGAGTGTCCACTGGTCTGATGGTGCCAGGTGTGCTGGTGGCCTCAGGTTGCTGGGCCCTAGCCGCTTCCACTGCCTCCTCCCAGGGAAGACCTGGAATCTTCCAAAATGGTGGGACGTCCCCGAGGTGCAGGGAGAAGTACCCTGAATGGCCGCTTACCGTGGTAGCCGGCTGCTCCCATCCACAGCACAGGAAAATTCTGCTCTGTGGCTCTGTACTGCTTGGGTTTGGTTGTTCACTTTCACGTCCACTCACACTCTCTCACACACTCGCTCGCTCACTCACACCCTCACCCTCCCTCCGCTCCTGCCAGCTGCCATCCTAAAGTCTCTTTTACAGGATATTTAAAGATCATAAACCCATTACCTTAACTTGACAAAAGGTTCTCAGAAACTAGAAGTGATATATATATATATATTTCTTTTTCTTCCCAATCCTCACCTGAGTATATTATGCAATTTATTTTAAGATAGAGTGGGAGGGAGGGAGAGAAACATCAATGTGAGAGAGACATATGGACTGGTTGCTTCCCGGATGACCCTGACCAGGGCCGGGAATGAATCTCAACTGAAGTATGTGCCCTTAACTGGAATCAAACCCATGACTCATGGGTCCGAAGGTCGATGCTCTAACCACTGAGCTAAACCGGCCAGGGCAGAAGTGATTTCTATTTGTGAGTCTGCTAATGGGAAGATGGCTTCTGCTCCCAGGCTGGGTCATCTGCATTGACTTTCCTATAGCTCATTCTCTCTCAGTTTTCTTTTTGACTTCAAGGGGTTTTGACCTGATTTAGAATGTCTACAGGCTGATCTGAGCAGTCTCTAATTACCCAAACAAGTGAGTGAGATATAAAATTTGACAAAAACTGTGGAGAGAATGTTATATAAACAGTTTGTACTTCTGTATTAGAAAATCCTTATAGATACATCATTGTTTTGGATCAGTTTAAAGCATTTTTTTTTTTTTTTTCAACTCATCTTTCTTGTTTGTTAGAAAATAAGTTTTGGAGAACATATTTTCTTTTGTGTGTGTGTGTGTGTGTGTGTGTGTGTGTGTGTTTTACAAATATGATACCTTCTTTGCATTTGTCCAAAAGCCTATAGGTAGGCTTATGAATCTCGATTATCAGGATCTGGAACATATTTAATTGTGTTGTGATATAAAGTGCCGCTCTCAAATAATCTAGGCAAAGACGTTGTGATGGAGAAAATGTTCACAAAGGAATAAAAAGATGGTTTCAGATTTTTCATTTCCCTACACTGCCCCCAGAGATACAGGCAGTAATGAACTAGGGTGAAGTAAATATTGTTGGGGATCAGTTTCAAAGTCCTCAGACAATTTAGACCATTTGTAGCTCTAGTTTTTGTTTGGATAGTAAGACTGACAAAGAAAAAGCATACTGAAGACAAATAGAAGTTTGGGGATCATTAAGTACATGGTCTGAGCATCAGAATGTTAAAGAAGACAAACATTGTTGAGCATCCACTGGTGTTAGATCCAAGCGTACACAGGCCTGCGTCAAAAACTAGACAACACTGCCAGTGTCCATCATACTACTCCAACACCAGAAGAACCTAAGCATGTTGCTACTACTGCATTCTTAGTAGAGGAGGAATTAATTAATTTCTACTGACTTGTTTGAATTTTGATTGCAGTTCCTTGGTCCATGGATGAATCTTGGACCTTCAGAGAAGTCAGACTAGCTGTAAGAAGGAAGTAGTGATATAGTGTAGGCTCGGATACCAGAAGGAACATAACCAATAACAGGGGTGACTAGCAAGGTCTCCTGGTTTCTGGGTGGTCACAGCCATATACACAGGGCTCTGCCCTTGTGAGTGTGTTGAGAGGACTTACTCGAGTCCCCTCGCCCAGAAAAGTCAATAGCTGGACCAGCAGCAAAAACCAGCAAGACATGTCTTTCTCTTGCTTTTTTTCTTTCAATCACCTCTAGACCTTCTCTACAGCTCTTTAAATAAAGACACAAACCTAATAATGTTTGTTTAAATGCCTAATTTACTTAGGGTTATCACATCCCAGGTAAATGTGGTCCCAGATAATTTTTTTGTGTAATAATCCTGGTTTTAAAATTAGAGCATTGCTTCAATATGAGTTCTAAGGTGTACACAAAGTGGAATCTATGAGAGACTGGCAAATGTAGGCAACCACTTAGCTGCATAATGCAAATAACTTGCAACATATAAGGACTCCAATGCAGTAAGTGGCTTTTTAGCCAGTGGAACTGCTGCATTCTGATTCTGCCACAGCTCAGCAGTAAGCTTCAGAGACTGCTTTAGAAAAAATAACACTGGGGAGGGTTTTAAAGTCCCTGAAATCTTATAGGTAATCCTGCAAATTAAAAAAAAAAAAATGCAATGATAAGTGACATTCAGAAAAAATAAGAAACATGGCAATAAAATTATTATAAAATAGCATCCAACTTATATATAACAAAGGTAATTGAGGGCATTAATGCAGGTGGAATAAAAGAGGTACATTTTAAGTCGCTCTAAATCAATAATCATATGCAGTAAACATTTACATTCATGATTTTTTAGTGACTGTGGAGACATCTTGCAAATAGTAGAGGATTTAACATTGACAAAGAGTGTTCACTAGAAAATTATCTACAATTGTGCATTAATTACATGACAACAATAATAGAAATTATAGGAGCTTTCTAGTGAAGTGGTCAGGTGGATTAAAATCCCCCAGATAATGTTTTCCAGGACAAAGTTTTACAACTACCATCTCCTATTAGTTTCAGCTTTGGCACAAGTGGAGTCATTAAGTAGCAGTTTAGATTTTTGATAATCATCATTGCCTGAAAGGTAATTTCTGACATTTTTTTAGATGCTTTTATATTGAACAATAATATGTAATCCAAATATTCTTATGACATAAGTGTAGATCAAAATAAATGTATTTTATACTACATGGGAAGGAGGGAAGTTTTATATTTTGCTAGTTATGATTTGAAAACCATAAATGTATAAAAATATATATGGATTTTTCTGGTAGTATATTTCAATGACACCTTTGTTCTTACACAATCAAGGACAATGGTTTTGTTAATTGTTAGATAAAAGAATAGTGAAGGATGAGAAGAAGTCTCTTCCAAAGTACAGGTAACCACCGCAGAAAAATAAACTAAACTCCTCTGTGGCAATTAAGGGAATCTCCCCAATAGCGAAAGGACTAAGGCTGTTTTTTCACACTGCATAACCAATGTGTCGATATCAAATAGATTTTCAAACTTATGTAACGAGCTCTACACTCAAAGCAAAGGTTGTTTGAAGAATAAAAATACAAGAACCTTATTTCAAGGAGCGAGCAGTATCCAGGTGTAAATTAAAAGATGGACTTTAAATCCAATAGGCTTGACTTTCATTCTTGCCGTTCTCCTTACTTCTCAGTGTAACACTGAGTAGCTTGATCTACACCTCAGCTTCTGCATTTATAAAAACTGCAACATCCAGCGCAGCTTGCTGACACAGAATGTGTGAAGTGGATTCACTGTGCCTGGCAGAGAGAAGACACCCCGATGCACTTCTCCCAAGCAATTCCCATAGCTTTGCCTGACCAACTCCTCATCCTCCTCACTTGAATTTAATGTAACTTCTTCAAGAAAACCTTCTCTGTGTCCCCAGAGTAATTAGAATCTCTATTACATTCTTTTATAGCGCATTGAATATCTCCTCTATGATTCTTATAATTTTAATTCATTATGTTATTAATACTATAAATATTAGAAGGGCACAGACTATGCTTTTCCTGTATCTAAGGAGCATGTGTTCTGATTACTGTAAATTAGATTCACAAAAAATAACTATTGAATATGGTACTGATTAGTTCACATCAAAATTAAGGTGACTAGCACAGGAGGTCTTGATGCTTAATTAGGTGGCATTTCAATTCATTAACTAGGCAGATAGCTAGATTAATAGATAAGATCATACAGAAGTGTATGAATTGGTAAGAGAGGGTTTCATTGAACAATGAGAAAACTTGATGCTTTATATGGACAATATTGTTAGAAAGAGGCCTGAGATTTAGATGGACAGAGGAAAGTCAGTCCATTCAAAAGAGAAAGAGCTCACAATTTAAATAAGAATTTCATGCCTTTTCATAGCAATAAGGAGCCTGACAAGATTAAAACAGACAGAATACGACTAAGAGAGTCTTTGAAAACAGCACACCTCACTGCTCTGATTCCGTAGTTTTCCTTCCTTTTCTTTCCTAGTGGTGTCATCTTTGTTTCTCCATGATTAACACATGCAAGCAAGGTTGTGCACTAAATGTATATTTTATGAATGAATAGAGAGAAGAGCACCGGAGCACATGCAGGTAAGTCCTTTCTGCATTCTTTACTTCCCTTCTGACTTTTTTTTTTCACCCTTTCATTCCTGAACAAAAATCCTTTCTTTCTCTCTTTTTTTTGTGTGTGTGTGTGTTTTTTTTTTTCATTTTTGAAACTATAATCAGAAAACTTTTTAGGACATGGTGACCTGTATGAAAGTATTTGAGGGACAGATCAACAAATACAAATTTTCAAATATATTAGGGTGACCTATGGAATTTTGGCATCACATCTGCAGTGATGATGACCAATGCATGATGGGCACTTTCAAACATTTTTGCTAATAAATTTCTAGTGTTACATCACATTGACTCTATTACCTTTATCCTTCAGCACTGAAGAAGTCTTCTCAGATTTTTCTTTTTCTTTTTCTTTTCTAATTTCTGCAAGAAGAATCATGAAAAAAAAAATGTTACCAGAAATAATAGAGATAAAGATGGCAAGTTTCTTGATGTGTTTTGTTTATTGAGGCCTAAAAATTCAAAGGGCCTCTGAGTTGATATTCAAAATACAGATATATACTGGAATAGGTTGCTCATAAGACATTGAACTAAATATGTAGAAGATAGAAAATAAGCTGGTGAATTATTACCATAAGGTGCAAGTTATGATAAACATACACACAAAAAAATACACTGAAAATGACATGGGCTTTGGAGAAAGAAGTTAGGGTAACAATAATAGGTAACATTGTCTATTTACTATGTGCTACAGAAAATGTTCTCTACTGTTTTGTCATTTAACATTTACAACAATTGTGTTAGGTAGGTAGGTCCTGTTATTATTCCTGTTTTTTGTTGTTGTTTTTTTAAATCCTCACCTGAGGATATTTTTTCATTGATTTTCAGATAGAGTGGAAGGAAGGGAGGGAGAGAGAGAGAGACATCATGTGAGAGAGACACATGCCTCCCGAAGGAGCCTGACAGGGGCCAGGGATTGAACTTGCAACCCAGGTACCATGCCCTTGACTAGTAATTGAACTCTCAACTCTTTGGTCCTTAGGTTTTCACTTTAACCACTGAGCCAAACTGGCCAGGGCATTATTCCAGTTTTTCACATAAAGATATTAAGTAACTTCCCCAAGGTCATGTAGCTCTTAAATAGAAGACCTGGCATTTCAACTGATGTCTCTCTGAACTCAACCACAAAGTTACTGGCTCTGGTAGCTGAATGATGGGATCAGGAATGGCTTTGGCAGGTGGTCCTGAGGCAGACCTTGAAAGATGGAAAAGAATTAGACCAACAGAAGTGGAGTGAAAAGAAAGATGTTTTAGAAGGACAGAAGAGAGAATAAGGAGCCCTGGGCTGGGCCGTCTATCAGTTTGGCTTTGTGAGTCACCTGTAACCAACAGAATGCAGTGGGAGTGATGCCGTGTGGCCTCCTAGGCTAAAGCAGGAAAGGCCTGCTCACACCTGCTCCTCCAGGAACACTAGCTTTGGGGGAGCCTAATGCCATTTAAGTATCCTAACTGATACCACCATGCGGCAAAGGATACATACAGGCATTCCAGTCAACAGCCCCAAATGAGCTCCCAGCCAACCGCTAGCTAACTGCCAACCTTCTAGACAAGCCAACCGAGCCATCCAGAAGTTGGTTGCTTAGAGGACTAGAGTTCAACCCTACATATGACTGCAATCATGCGAGATACTCATGTGAAAACTGCTTAGTTGATCTCTCTTGACTTCCTGACCCTCTAAATCCTGAACAAAGTAAAATCAGTTGTTATTATGCACCACTACGTTTTGAAGTAGTCTATATACAGAAACAGCCCTTGAAACGGTCAGAGAATAATAGCAAAATATTACACCATGTGCCATGTAAGTGTTCTGTGGAGATATGTAGATAACAGAGATATTATTAATTCTGCTTTTAAAACTGGGGAAGGTTTTCAGTGTGAAGGTGCCAGTGGGTTTAGAATTTCACTAGTAAGAAAATGCAAATTTAACAGTAAACAGGGGTGTAGGATGTAAATCTGATTATTTAAATAGCTGAAGTTCAGATTTAAAAAAGAATTCCTAGAATTTCTACTTTGTTTACAGGATGATAATCTGCCATCAATTAAGATATAACGTGTGACAGAGAAGTCTTTGGAAAAGATACTTTTGCTTTGAATGTGTTGTGTTTCTTTTTTCTTTTCTTTTCTTTTTTAAATATTATTTTTATTAATTTGTTTTTGTTACAGATGTTTCTCCTTTTCCCCCCACTGACACCCTCCTCTCTATCCCCTCCCCCCACCGCTCCTTCCCCAGTTTTGTTGTCTGTGACTATTGGTTATGCATACATGCATATAAATTCTGTGGTTTATCTCTTCCCCCCCAACACCTCCTCTTCTGGGGTCTGTCAGTGTGTACCCTACCTCTATGTCTCTGAGTCAGTTTTGTTTATCAGTATGTTTAGTTCATTGTATTGTTAACAAGACACCAAAAAAGGCAATGTCAGGCAATCGGTTAAAAATACAGGTGAAGTGCAGATTATATGTAAATATTGCAGAAGGAAAGCAATCCATAGTCTTATTTATAAATGGAAACTATCACTACCACCAGTAACACAATTGCTTAAATGCCCCCCAATCTCATTTACTTAGTTTACAGAGATTGATTTGATTTAGCTAATAAACTAAGTATATAAAGGCAGAATAAACCAGAAAGTTAAAATTGTTTTCTTAATATATGCAAATTAGAAAATACTAATGTCCTGGGTTATAATAATTTACGTGCATGTTTCAAATCTAACCTTGTATAATTTGCCTATACTGATAAGTATATCAACATATATTGGTAATAAAAATTTAATTTTATGAATTTTGATTAGCTATTGCCAGATATTTAAAAATGAAGAACACATGTAGACTGTTATCAAATAGTTATGCAAGTCAAATTTTAAATAATTTACTATATAAAAACTATTCATTTTAAGATAACTGCATTCAATTTCTATAAGTCCAAGATTTTTTTTAAAGTTAAGGACCTGAATATATCTAACCAAGAAAAGAAAATTATTTGATTTTTCTTCAAATATTAGCATGAAACAGATAAAATGAACATATAACAATAGTGTTTCCTTCCACAACAATTGAAAAAGGCCCATGAAAGACTAAAATAACAGTCAATGTTATAACAGAGGTTATAGGCACTAGAGATCTTCCCTGGCACAGATGTAAATATTTTGAACCCCAAACAATGTATGTTAAGGAAACAGTAGTAGTGAATAATATTTTTGATCTGGTCAGTATTTCTTACTGTTGATCTAAGTGATCAAGTTCAATATCAGTTTATCATTATTATTATTATTTTATCCTCACCCTAGGATATTTTTCCTTTTTTTTTGTTCAGATAGAGTGGGAGGGAGAGAGAGAAAGAGAGAGAGAAACATCGATGTGAAAGGGACACATCGAGTGGCTGCTACCCACATGACCCAACCAGGGCCAGGGACAAACTGCAACCAAGGTACGTGCCCTTAGTGAGAACCAAATCCGGGTCTCTATGGACCGCAGGTCAACACTCTAACCGCTGAGCTAAACTGGCCAGGGCTATCAGCTTCTTATTAATGACATTAGTATAGTAACAAAAAATGTTGGTGGAGTGTCTTAGTTTGATGTCAATGTCAAATATAGCTAGATTAAAAAACAAACAAAACGTAACAAAAAACAAAAACACAAAAAAACTTGAAATTTGAAGGTTTAAAAGGTCCTAACAGAATCATCAGGCAATTCAGGCTCCTGGCTGTACAAAGAACCAAACTCAAAATTCTTCACTTTTCTTATCCAGCTAGTTCTACTGACGTGCCCGAAAATATGTTAGAAACTGTCTTTATTACCTCTTTGGCAGATATAACTTGTTTATTAATTTGAGATTTTTTTTTTTATGAACATGATAAATAAAATAAAAGTATCAACTTTTTGCATTTTTCTTTGTTGGAAAGAATAATTTTAAAGAACCATGTGGGGAGCTCTATCCATAAGTTAAATGGTAGATGATAGTTTCCCAGAGAATGATATATTATATAGCATCAATAATATTAAAATTATTTCATAGCACCTCTATTGTTTTTTAAAGTGATACTGCATTTCCTGAAGTGATTTGATTTTTAGAAATTGCATACATTTTTAATAATTAATATGTGAATCTCCTACCTATAGCTGTCATTGCTCATGTTTTTTTGGACATAATTTTGACAATCAGAAATATTTTAGAAAGAGTATTCTTTTATCTTACTTTGAAAAAATTTTTAAATTATATGTATAGCTCACATTTACTTCAATGTTTAATACTGGAAATATTTTATGTCTTTATTTAGAAGTTTAGGGATATTTTTGTAACCAGAATTATGGCTTAGGAACTTTACTCTTGTTTATATCAATAGACTATGGTGAAATTGATTTTGTTATGTCATTTTGAGAAAAGGTATTTTATAGCATTTTAATATTTTTTCCAAACTCCAAAATATAAATTTTATAAATAAATATAGAGGGAAGCATTCTCACATTGTCTAAATGGTTTAATATACTGCTTAAAATTCCCATGCAAAAAATATAATATATTGATGTTTTATCTAACACTAAATTTGAATGTTTCTGAAAAGATGTTTAATTTTACTCAGGACACTATCCACTAACTTTGTAATTAAGTATAACTAGGTCAGAGAGCCATGTTACGTTTAATTATTCATTATTCTATGGGCTACAGAACTTAGCACATATATTTTTTAAATTTAAAATATTTTTCTCTAAATATCTGTTTAAAAATCAAATCCTTAATTTAAACATTAACAATTTGTTACATCCACTTAACCAATATTGATACATTAATATTAACCAAAGTGCGCAATTTACATTAGGGTTAACTCTCAGTTTTGATATACATTTTCCATTATAGTATGATACGGAACGGTTTCACTTCTCTAAAAATCCCCAGTGCTCGACCTATTTATTGCTTCCTGTTTCCAAACCCTTGTTAAATGTTTTATGATGTCTATAGTTTTTCCTTTTCTAGAATGCCATATAGATAGAGTTATACAATATGTAGACTCATCAAATTGTCTTCTTTCACTTAGTAATATAATTTGTTTCCTCCGAGGTTTTTTTTGTGTGGCTTGACAGCTTGTGCATTTTTAGCACTGAATATCAATCTATTGTATAAATGTACCAGAGTTTATTCATCCATTCACCTACTAAAGCATATCTTTGTTGATTACAAGTATTAACAACTTTGAATGAAGCTGGTATAAACATGTGTGCAGGACATTAGTGTACAAAAGTTTTCAACTCATTTGGGTAATTACCAAAGAGCATGATTGTTGGATTGTATGGTAAGAGCACATTTAGTTTTGTAAAAAACCACCACCGTGTCTTCCAAAGTGGCTGCCCCATTTTGTGTTCTC